TTGTACACTATTGAACACTATATGAAAGTCTTCAATAGTGTTCATTATTATTATCATTATTATCATCCCAGCAGGCATTCGGCGGTTGAATCAACGTTGAATCAACTACCTATTACGACGTTGAGATCGGGTGAAAGGAGGTTTAGAATGAAAATTGAAGTAACGGCTTTCATGAAACGTCGTACTGACGTTATAATGCAACGTTGAATCAATGTTGCTACTACGACGTTGCTGCAATGTTGAATTCTATGGTTGAATTGACGTTGAAACAACTACCTATTACGACGTTGAGATCGGGTGAAAGGAGGTTTAGAATGAAAATTGAAGCAACATCTTTCATCAAACGTCGTACTGACGTTTCAATGCAATGTTGAATCAATGTTACTACTACGACATTGCTGCAACGTCAAATTCTCTAATTAAATCGACGTTGAAGAACCAAACTGTTTTTCGTCCGTAGCATGATTTGAACCCGGGATTGCTGGAGACCGCGCGACGCCTTAGCAACCTTGACCACTGCAGCTCGCGCGCATGAGCAATAGAAATAAACCAAAGAATTGTTTGACTCCTTGAAAATTGAAATGCATTCCTTCATTAATCGTTCACTTTTATATATGTATTTCATTCAATGTTGGCGTGATAACATTAGTTCCATGCTGGTAAATAGCTAAACATTCAACGTACCGATATCGACCATTTTTCAACGTTGAAATAAGGTTGTTTTACGTCCGTTCTAGCTTTGGTCAGATTTCGACGTTGATCGGACGTTTATCAATAAATAAACATTCAACGTACCAATATCGACGTTGTTTCAACATTTAAATAAGGTTGTTTTACGTCCGTTCTAGTTTTGGTCAGATTTCGACGTTGAGTGGACGTTTAAAAATAAATAAACATTCAACGTACCAATATCAACGTTGATTCAACGTTAAAATAAAGTTGTTTTACGTCTGTTCCATTTTTGGTCAGATTTCGACGTTGATTGGACGTTTAAAAATAAATAAACATTCAACGTAACAATATAGACGTTGTTTCAACGTTGAAATAAGGTTGTTTTACATCCGCTCTAGTGTTGGTCAGATTTCGAAGTTGATCGGACGTTTAAAAATGAACAAACATTCAACGTACCAATATCAACGTTGTTACAACGTTGAAATAAGGTTGTTTTACGTCCGTTCTATCTTTGGTCAGATTTCGACGTTGATCGGATGTTCAAAAATAAATAAGCATTCAACGTACCAATATCGACGTTTTTTCAACGTTGAAATAAGGTTGTTTTACGTCTGTTCTAGTTTTGGTCAGATTTCGACGTTCATCGGACGTTTAAAAATAAATAAACATTCATCGTACCAATATCGACGTTGTTTCAACGTTGAAATAAGGTTGTTTTACGACCCTTTTAGTGTTGGTCAGATTTCGACGTTGATATGACGTTTAATTTTGATTGTTCAACATTTCAACCCGAAATCAACCAATAATCAACGTTTCAATGTCAGATGCCTGCTGGGATTATTATCATTATTACCATTATCATCATCTTTATTATCATTATTATCATTAATATAATCAATATAATTATCATTATTATTATCAATATAAGTATCATTATTATTATTATCATTATAATTATTATCGAGTGCGAGTCGAATCGAGTCGAGGATGAGTCGTGTCGAGTCGAGGGCGAGTCGAGGAAGGGTCAAGTCGAGTCGAATGCGAGTCGAGTCGAGTCGAATCGAGTCGAGTTGATCAAGTCGAATCGAGGGCGAGTCGAGTCGAGGGCAAGTCGGGGCGAGTCGAGTCGAGGTCGAGGTCGAGGTCGAGAGCCCGAGTGGCCGAGTGGTCGAGTGGTCGAGAGGTCGAGGTCGAGGTTAGAAGAAATAACCATAATATAGTGAGCCGAAGATTGATCATACATATACGAGAGCATTAAAAGTTCGTAGTTTAATATGTGGTATTAGGTCTTGAGACTACGATCAATCTAAATAGTATTCTCGTAAAGAGCGATACGAATTGGAGAACAATTCTTCATTTTTTTAGAACTGCGAAAAAATAGGTGTAAATCTCGTCCGAACCAAAGTTTGTGATATCGACGAAAAACGAACAGGGCCTATGCCTTTCCCCCGTGCAAAATAGTCGTCGGATGAAACTTGTAATGACAAGGATCAACTCTGTCCTGATATCGCATGTCAAATCCGTCATGCGTATATCACATGGCAAATGAACGCTATGCCTTCAATATATATAAGTCAGTATTTGTGTTTCCTCTTGTACTTACTGTAATAGCTCCTTAGGAAATTCATTAGAGTTTTTTTAATGTGAAAAGTACTGAACGCATTCTGAATAAGATTTGCATAAAGTAACCTTCTCATATCCAATAAATAGCTGTAAAATACTAGTTCCCACGTATTGTTTATGAATGAATGAATTGGATGTTCAAATCATGTAAAACAAATTCGAAACACTTCATACGATACTTTTCTTGACGTTTTTTCTCGACTTATTTCAAAAGCAACGTCTACAGGCAACACACATTATTTTTCTGATCAGCACTTCACTTCAAGGCACGCTCACGATAGTTTTGTCCTCGTTGCTCGAAAATAAGCAATAATACGGAATACTGGCCACATACTAATGAGGTAACTTTCATACCTAGTTTATGCCAATTTCTTGCACATCACAGCTCCAAAAGCAGAGCATCAAATTATGAGGTTTTGTATCGATCGTAAAAAGTGTGCAAGGGTTCTGGGAACTGTGAAGACGAACCTCAACTTTCGGGCCCGACCAAACAAAGTCTATCATGCAGACTACAACCTTTCATTTTGGTCGAATTGGAACATATATTCGAGGCTACCAATAGCGTTCAACGAATGTGCATTTTTGTCTGAGGTTCGTCAAGTACATATTAGCAGTTCGTATCCGTTCGTGAAATGACCGGTGGCCATAAATTACGCTCAGACATTATTGACTGATGAGCTCATGCCACGTGTGCCTCTAATTCAACAGGAGGTTCAACAACCTTATAGCCTGGAAACTAATAAGCCCGGAAAATCCAAAATACCGCAAAAAATCTATTGAGGGATGTTACCTGTGCACTGATTATCTCAGACTCTTTGCTGAGCTATTGCCTTCAACGAGAAAAAGTTCAAAATTTCCTTGAATATTGAACATAGAATTCACCACACAATGGCGCTCCATTGCTCCACGCTATCTTATCAAAACTTCTCATATCCACGTCATATTATTAACTGATTCAGAAAATATACATTTGTCAATGATCATAAAAAGCATTTGCTTTCGAATAATCTGCTTTCAATACTTTAAATGTAAGAAATAATGATCAATTTGCGTTGAAATTCATCATTTTTTCCTGCAGATAAAAAGGTAATTTACACGTTGATATGCAGTATGCTTTAGCATGGATAAAAACAAAACTTTTAATATGACTTACCACAGTAAATACATCACCTGCTTATCTGGTGCGGAATTATGTCTGTGTGGGTCACAGTGACCCACACATCTTGGTTGCAGGCATTTTAAAAGCACGGTCTTACTTTGTAGGGCCAATTTTATGCGATGTACGGGAAATCATACATGTGCTTGTCACACCTATTAGTTCATATCGGTGGAAACTAAACAAATGCTAGAAACATCTCACATCTAACGCTAAGCATTTGCTAATTTTTTTCTAGTTGAATTCACACCAGCAGCTCGTTTTCCGAGTTCTTCACTAACCGGCACAAATTCAGAGTAATCGGCACTGATCTGCATCATTACCCACATCATCGTTTGATTGAGAAGCGACGTACGCAGCTGTGAATGACAAACTGGGTGCGTTCTTTGCGGGATGCGCTGAAAGAAATTAGCTTCAACATGAAGCGTTCAAGGCAAAAAAAAAAACGAAGAGATTTGTTCAGTTTTCTGATGCTGCATGGAATATGCGATTAGGGGCGAAAAATACTCAATGGTCATGTATTCTTCTCCGCACTTTTGGAAAATCAAGTTAAAAATCGGAATGTATTTTTTCGAGACTGCATATTTACAAAATGTGTTCCTTGTCATTCGAAATCAATCTATCAATCTTTATAATAATTTTGCACATAAAATCACATATACTATTTTTTTTTCTTTAAAAGGAATACGATTTTAAATAGGATTAAAACTCATTATGGTGAGCTTCAGTTTATTTTTTAATGTGTTAATCGATTACAGAAATAAATAAATGAAACAGGCTTCTTGCGACGTTAGTGTAGATTAAGAACCATAAATTGTCACACTAGTGCAGATTAAAATACAATCGCATTCGGTTGCAAGCGTTTACAATGTTTCACTCTCGCTATCAACTCACATATCTAAGCAAGTTTAGCCTATTTCTAAATACGATTTGAATTAAACGCCAACGATTCCACATTATAATAATGTAACTTCTGGATAACATTGTGCTGTTCGTTACTGCGTGGAAAGAAGCGTGCATGACTAACATTAGCATCACACATTTATCTGTTAATTGTGAACTTCATTGAAACGCTGCAAAACAATGAACGAATCATCATTTATTAAGAAGAAGCAGACATTTTTTTGACACAAAAAAAAAAACTCGAGATTTATTGCATCGCGATCTGTAGTTCGTAAAACACACTTGATTTTATAGTCTAATGTGCTTGTGAGTTAGACAAGATATATGTGCCAGTGGTGCGCCCGCTGCGTAATTAAAAATAAGTTTCAGCTAGAATTTACGAGGATGAGGAAACTTAATTGATATATCTATAAATAACAATATTTCTGAGATTCTATAAACTCAATGACTTATGTATGAATAATCAAACAATTGAAAGGTTTCAAAGCCAAAATTACGCATCAGAAATTTGCCGGCGCCAAGCTAGTTAATGCCTAAACGGAAAAGATTATTATACCATTCACAGATGAAATTAAATATATCAATATTCAATGAAATAAATATATCAAAAGGTTTCAAGAAATCTTCATTGAATTTATATCAATGATTCAAATCTGAATCTGAAATTGAGTTAGCATTTATCTGATATTCCGCTTTTACTGGAAGCAATTTTGAGGTTAGCGAACAAACTCAACAGTTCAAAGCACTTGTTTGAAAATTTTAGCATAGACTCATCGTAAAGCTTATTTTCATTATATGTAGGTGCGTGTGATGTAAGATCACGCTGCTGCATCAACACGTGTGCGATTTAAAACACCTTAACTATCACTCATGAAAACCCGGTTTCTGCTCTTTTCATTATTGTGATAATTATGTATCAGTGGACACAGATATTGATAACAGTTTTACTGAACTTGTAGATGCGATGAATTGTCACAGAGCGATTGCGATTTCCCCCTGTACCCAAATTACGAACAGTCGACCTGAAAGTCGAATTGATTAATTTATTCGAATCCCTTAGAATCTTGAAATTTACTCAACACGTGTGACCATGCACTATCGGAATCTAATTATTTCGATACATCAATCTTTCCTCGGTAGCTAGAGGAACTGATCAGGACTTTGAGTTCAGACTGCGGTCGCTTTGGAGATATCGTATGGACGTATACGTACACTTCTATAGGATCGCATGTTCCTTTTATAGATCGACTAATTTTCAGGTATGACTTGGAGTTCACCCAATGAGAAGTAGTATGTAGTGCCAGATTTGAAGTGGATGTATCGCCCCAAGACAGGCGGCTTCAACTGGATTCTCAAATCCCCAAGAGGGGTGACTCCAGTGGGCAGCTGAGCGATCACGGCATTTGATGTTTCTACAGAAGAAGTACCAAGTCGCACTGTTACGGATTCAAAATATACTGGTTCAGAGCGAAGTGCAACTCGTATCTCGGCTACCTGAACATTTTTCCCGAAGTCAACTTGTAGGTAGTTGTAAACGCCGAAGGCACCGTCGAAACGCCTAGCTTCATACCCGCTCGCCTGACAGAAGAATCCGTCAACGAAGAATCTGCTACGGCGACCGTAATTGTAAGGAGGACTTGAGGTCGTGATCATCGTATCTCTAATGATGCTATCAGTTGAAGTCCAGGATGAGTAACACACGTCGTAAGTCTCCGTCGTGGCATCAGGTGGTATCCCGGAAAACCAGTGGGCCGAAAAAACCGACGTGATGGCACACATGGATCGTTCTGTCGATAGTAAATGTGAATTTGATTTCAGAATGCTTCTTCTCAGAACTATTTCTCCAGAATATAATAATCAAAATGCGTAATAAAATATCAAGAATCATATCGTATTTACCGTAACTGAAGCAGTACGAGACGCAGGTTTCACTAAGCAAACAACGTCCAGCGCATTCCGTGAGTGTGAGTGATGTTGAGTCGTACACTCGGTAGTTGTCTGATATCTTGCACAAGGAGAAGAACGTCTTCACATCAACCTGAAATACGACCAGTTAAATGAATGCGTATGGGGAACTGAACTATTTTTTCATTGTATGTGAATTGTGCTAATTTATAGTGAAATCGAAACCGTTTGCATCAATTGAGACTTTTTCACGTTTCTATTACTTTTAATTAAGGGGAGCGTCTACCCTAAAATTGAAAATTTTCACTTTTTCGGTTTTTACACTCATTTTAAAGCTGACATTCTGCCCTATCCAACGGTACCACTGCCATATCTGTACGTTGATTTATGATTTCACGACATTTCATGAAAGGGGGGCGGGTGGGGGAGTTCTTTAAGTAAAGTCTTAGAATTCTGTTTTACATATGTGTACCAAGTTTCAGAGTGATCCGTTCGTAAATAGCCGAGATAAATTTTAGGGTAGACGCTCCCCTTAAGTCATCGTGATTGAACTTCAATTCAATGATCAGTATTGGATATCTCACCAAAGTTGGAAACTTTCATTATACAAGTAGTTATTGCAGGATTTTTGATATTATCCAGAATTATTGTAAGCTGATTTTGAAAAAATTATTATTCTTTTCCCTCGTTCATGGGCTTGCTGAATTTTAACACACTTAGAACATAACCTCTCATGAGCGAAAACTAATCTCTTGAGCATATTTTGAGAATAAAAAAATGCTAACTTACCTTCTGGAATCTCTTTTTTACAATTCCCCCTTGGACGTGACTGAGCAGCAGCGCCGCTACCCCGGCCGAGAACAGAAAGAACCAGCAAAACTTCGAACTCATTTCCTGATGTATTTTTTCTTAAAGCTGCACTCAATGCATGAAAATGAAATTTCGCTCCCTTGATAATATTCTTTTCCGCGATTAATTGCTGTTTTCCATGAATAATTGTTGGAAGAAGCATAAAACGATATTCAACAAAATTTTTAAAGTTTAAACAGAAATTAGATGGTTAACTGTGAACATTTGGGCTTATATCAGATGTCATTTGAGCTTACATTCTCTGCTCATGCAGTGTCCTGAATCTCAATTACGGACAGAGACTCAAGTTACGATGCAGTTCCGATGAACTGCTATTCTCGTATGATAATGTTTGCCCAGCCATACGGGGTATGAATATCTGTTTCCAATCCAACACATGACCTATCAGAAACGACCATAATGCAGTGAGCCAAAGTTTGATCATACATTAACGAGAGCATTACAAGTTCGTAGCTTAATGTGTGGTATTAGGTCTAGAGACTACGATTAATTGAAGTAGTTTTATCGTAATTAAAGAGCGATAAGAATATGTATGACAGTTCCAGAACTGCGAAAAACTCTGTATAAATCTCGTCCGAACAAAAGTTTGTGATATCGAAGCAAAACGATCAGGGCTTATGCATTTCTCCGTGCAAAATAGTCATCGGATGAAACTTGTAATGACAAGGATTAACTCTGTCCTGATATTCATACGAATATCGCATGGCAAATCAAAGCGAAATCGCATGACAAAACCGTCATGCAGATATCGCATAGCAAATGAACGCTATGCCCTCAATATATATATAAGTCAGCATTTGCATTTCTACTCGTAGTTACCGTAATAATTACTTAGGAAATTACTTAGTTTTTTTTCTTTTTTTAGTACTAACCGCATTCTGAGATAAGATTTGCAAAAATTAACCCTCACATATACAATAGATAGCTGTGAAATACTAGCTTCCACGTATTTTTTATGCAAATTGAATTAGTTCTTCAAATCATGTGAATCAAATTTGCAATACTTCATACGATACTTTTCTTGCCGTTGTCTTTTTTTCTGGACTTATTTCAAAACTAATGGTGTCCACAGTTAACTCGAATTATTATTTTGCTCAGCACTTCACTTTAAGGCACGTGTGGCGCTCACGATAGTTTTGTCCTCGTTGCTTGAAAATAAGTAATAGTTTGGAATACTGGCCACATCATCGTACGTAATGAGGTAACTTTTATACCTACTTTATGCCAATTCCATGCACACCACAGCTCCAAAGCAGAGCAGAAAATTATGAGGCTATGTGTCGATTGTACAAAGTGTGCAAATGTTCTGGGAACTTTGAAGATAAACCTCAACTTTCGAATCCGACCAAACAAAGTCTATCATGCAGACTAGAACCTTTCATTTTGGTCTATCTGCAACATATATTCGAGGTTACAAATAGCCTTCAACGAATGCGCAATTTTTAATTTTAGCAAAAAAATATTATAAACAGGAACATTTTTCTCATATTTCAATTTCTCAGAAACAAGGTTACCGAATTTACATATATGATGTCAATAAACGATTCTGTAATAAATATTGTCATTTAAAAACAATCAGGTGATAAAGTTTGTTCTTTAAAATCAATCAGGAATCTCTCGAAATTTTTTTCCACCTAAATCTAAATCGATTCATTGTACCAAAATGCTCCCCGCGATAATTACTGAGCGCTCATAGAATAGTCAAAAGAAAATACAACGTTATACACGTCCGAGGGCGTTTCTGTGCTGTCGGTTTTCACGTGTAGCTGGAAGGGCTGAGTACCTGCGCCTTTAAAAAAATGAAGATCAAGACATAATCATCTTAATTATGTGATGCCGTATCTTTCATTGAATTAATGATGTGAAATGGACATGAAAAGTTTCGGTATAAGTTAACATATTTAGGTTCTAAAGCTAATTAAAAACCATTGTCTTCAACCCCTTTTACGAAGACTTATTTGGATTTGGAAATTTCGATCATTTAACTGGTTAGACTTCTTGGTTCAGATTTTTGAAATTTCGATCATTTAACTGGTTAGACTTCTTGGTTCAGATTATTTCTGTAAGATACTTTTGACAAAACCGAGAAAAATGCACTCTGTGCAAATACGCAAATTTAACTATTAAATTCAGTATCTATTAGATGAGCCTCTAGCTGCGATGTGAAAGAAAAGTTAAGCTAGACTTTAGAGTTTGAAACTGACAGCGGTTTCCATCAATAAATACCGGTCACAAGTTTCAGACTTGAGTAAATCTAATATTAAAATCTTCCGCTACATGTAAGCTGAAGAGATCCGATTTAAAGTGAAGTCAGATATATGATGGAAGAATAATTTTTCTATCATTAAAACAATTATCTTACTTCTTACGGAAGCTGGGAAATTCAGGCCGCAGAAAGTGTCACCCACGGAGCCCGGCGGGTATATGACGGACCACGAGTCGGTGATGACCGCCCCAGGGATGGTCAGAGAGTCCTTGGTGCAGGATGTCCCGACGAGCCCGGGAGCCACAGAACCCGCTGCATAAAATGAGAATTTTCTACAGAAATTTGTTAAATTGCAAGCAAATTTTCGGAAATGAAACTTTCGATCAACGACACAACGAATTCAAATATACTTAATCCGTTGCATTGGAGTACTGCACCATTATTCAAGTAAGAATCAACTAAACGATCTGACAGATACTTTAACCAATGAAAATTAAAAGTGCGAAAGTGTAACATTTCATGGTATTTACAAAATAAATATTTTGTGAAATAACAATCTGATTATGTGCAGTATCTATTACCCAAAATTTTTGCCTCAACACATATATTGAGGTTAATTTTAAATTAATTTACGAAATTTAATAGATAAGTTCTCAATAACTCTCATAAGTTCTCAATAACTCAATTTTCAGTTATATACGGCGGATGCTATCTTACGGCAAAATATGCCGCGGCCGTCTTCGAGAACCCAAGCTACCCTAATCCTGAGATGATATCCTACAGCAGCTTCCCTCTTGCCATCACACCTGCCAATAACAACATTTGTCAGATCCGCCAGGACTTCTAAGCCTTCACCTTAGCTGGCCCCAATGCCGTGGGAGTGTGTGCCCAGGACGCCTTCACAGTCACAGGCGCAACGTCAACAGTCCCCGTCATCTGTGGAGAGAATTCGGGGCAGCATAGTGGGTGAAGCGTCGTGTTCGGGGCAGCATGGTGAGTGAGGCGTCGTGTTCGGGGCAGCATGGTGAGTGAGGCGTCGTGTTCGGGGCAGCATAGTGAGTGAGGCGTCGTGTTCGGGGCAGCATGGTGAGTTAATAAGCGTCGTTTGCAGTGACGTAGCTTACTTACTCAGGGCCGATTGCTTTCAATTCATCAGCTGCTTGTTTTTATTTCCGCTCCAGAGACGTAAATATGGTTGTTGAGAATGCGCGATCAAAGGTAAAGTGGACGGCGACTTCTGCAATGTGTCTTGTTTTACAGTGCTTACTCGCTGATGGAATTTAATCGAATTCGTGCCTTACTGAGGAAGACTCTTAATTTAGTACGCTGAATTGTTTTATTAAATATTTATTGTAAAGCGAATATGAAAATGTTTATAATTCTCATTTTTCACTACCATTATGATATTTTGCATGATTTTATTTACAATGTACTTCGAAGTGACTCCCGGTTTCGATTTTGTCTTGGACGTAAAAACGTCAAAGGCGGGCAGCAAGTGGCAAATTTCGGTGACCCAGATCGAGTGTACTTCGCCCAGTCGAGGTGAGTTGATATTGAAAATTAATTTCATTTATATGATGTAGGGACGGATGTAACCACCAAACTGAATTATCACACCTAGCATCGCAATGATATTGCAGAGAGATTCACGTGTTGAAAATTTATGCTATCATAAATACCGTTCTTTGATTTGTGGTTCGATCAGAGTTCATTTAAACCAAGAACCCATTAAAAATACAACAATAATTGTTTATAATTACATAGTTTACCATCCCATTCAATAAGCTTGCTTTCATTCATGAAAGTTTTCATGTACTTTCGATGTTCTCTTCATAGTTCCAAATAGTGATTCAAAGATTAGATTCGTATAAGGTAAAAATAATAAAATTGTTGTTAATACATACTGCCTCTAAAAAATTTACAATCTATTACGTGCTGCGGCAGTCCCGAGTGTTTGTCTGCAGTACTACACCGGGAACACCGGAACCATCAAAAGCTTCAACTACGTGAAGCCAACCGGTCCTCCTACAGGTGATAAATTATTGTGTTGTCTAACACCGCGCCGCTTCTTTTTATCAATTTTTCTGCATCTGTAAATCCTAAAATATTACGTGTATTTATTAGGCAAGAAAGCGAAATGAAAGATTTGGTAAACTGTTCGATTATAGCTAGTTTGTGCTGAAACAGTAGGCTGACATAGACCGGTTACAAAAATAACTTTGGGCCTTGCCTTGAGGTTAGAAATCAGATAAGGTACGGCATTGAATTTATTACGATAAATACGTCTACGTATCATAAAACAGAGACCCGTCTGCTTTCAAACCAAGGCACTATTGAACACTGTTGAACACTAATAAACACTATTAAACACTATTGAACACCATTGAACACTATTTGAAAGCGTTCAATAGTGTTCAACAGTGTTCAATAGAGGCTATTGAACACTATTAAACACTCTCAAATAGTGTTCAATAGTATTCAATAGTGAACACTTTCAAATAGTGTTCAATAATGTTCAATAGTTTTCAATAGTGTTCAATAGAGTTCAATAGGCACTATTGAACACTATTGAACACTTCCAAATAGTGTTCAATTTTGTTTAATAGTGTTCGATTGTGGTTATTGAACACCATTGGCTATTGAACACCATTGAACTCAATTGAAAATTATTGAACACTATTGAACACTTTCAAATAGTCTTCAATATTGTTCAATAGTGATCAATAGTGGCTATTGAGCGCGATCTGGTGCGCGATCTGGTGACTGTGGTGTGTCCCGGTTTGAACCCATGTTGCGAGGGGATGGTGGTGAGGAATCCTAATATGTACGGGAGCACAAGACGCCCTAGGATCTTGGCTGCAGAGCAGAGGAGAGAGATAGGGTGGTATGAGGAGCCCTGGTTTCCGGGTTTGCTCGGTTTTAGGATTGGAATGATTATTGAATTATTCCAAATGGATGGGATCGAGGCTGTGGAGACGGATGTTAAAAATTCGGGTGAGGAGCTGGAGACCACGCGGGCCGAGGTGCTTGAAGTGAAGGACCGTGAGGCCATCTGGACCTCGAGCGGAAGAGTTGTTGGTGGCTGCGATAGCAAGCTTCA